TAGCTTAATATTAATTTTTAGGAAATGGCGCTACCTACGCAAACGAATTTGATGTGTAATTTATTGCGAGCTGTACAATAGTTGTGCCTTCTATATGTGTTATTTATTAATTGGTAGATCAAAAAAATAAATTCATGAACAAAGTCACTGCTCATGATGATCAGTGATCGGGTCACTGTTCATGGTGAACAGTGACCAAAACAACTAAAAAAATGTAATGATTTTAAATGATTGTAAAAATGTATGTATGTGTGTGTATATATTTGTTTATTTTAAATGATTGTTCATATATATATCTTTATTTTAAATGATTGTTTACATGTATAATTATAAGTGGCCGTTTTTCTTAAATAATTGTTGAAGTGCGTGTATATATACTTGAATTGTATTAATTTAAAATGTTATGTGTTTAATTTAAATTTGCGTGATATTTGTTGAAAATTTATTTTTGTATACACACACAAATTTAAAGATATGATGTAAAATACAAATTTTATTTAATTAAGTCCCTAAATATGCAAAAATTTGAAAGACCATAGCCACTAAACGACCATCAAACGCCCACCCTCCGATGACTCGTATGTAAGGGGGTAAGAATAGAAATTTATTTAAACTTTTGGCATAATCTAAAATTTTTTAAGTTGTCCACGTTTGAATCTTTAGACATGCACGTGTATTCTCGCTAAATTTATGATATGTATTACGATGGTATAGGTATAAAATGTTATTCTTGGTATTCGTATGTGATGAGTAGCTTAATATTAATTTTTAGGAAATGGCGCTACCTACGCAAACGAATTTGATGTGTAATTTATTGCGAGCTGTACAATAGTTGTGCCTTCTATATGTGTTATTTATTAATTGGTAGATCAAAAAAATAAATTCATGAACAAAGTCACTGCTCATGATGATCAGTGATCGGGTCACTGTTCATGGTGAACAGTGACCAAAACAACTAAAAAAATGTAATGATTTTAAATGATTGTAAAAATGTATGTATGTGTGTGTATATATTTGTTTATTTTAAATGATTGTTCATATATATATCTTTATTTTAAATGATTGTTTACATGTATAATTATAAGTGGCCGTTTTTCTTAAATAATTGTTGAAGTGTGTGTATATACATGCGAATTGTATTAATTTAAAATGCTACGTGTTTAATTTAAATTTGCGTGATATTTGTTGAAAATTTATTTTTGTATACACACACAAATTTAAAGATATGATGTAAAATACAAATTTTATATAATTAAGTTCCTAAATATGCAAAAATTTGAAAGACCATAGCCACTAAACGACCATCAAACGCCCACCCTCCGATGACTCGTATGTAAGGGGGTAAGAATAGAAATTTATTTAAACTTTTGGCATAATCTAAAATTTTTTAAGTTGTCCACGTTTGAATCTTTAGACATGCACGTGTATTCTCGCTAAATTTATGATATGTATTACGATGGTATAGGTATAAAATGTTATTCTTGGTATTCGTATGTGATGAGTAGCTTAATATTAATTTTTAGGAAATGGCGCCACCTACCCACACGAATTTGATGCGTGATTTACATCGAGCTGTACAAAAGTTATGCTTTATGTATGTTTTATTTATTTTTTAGTTGAGCAAAAACTTAGGTTGCGATGTTCGATATTTTATTAAATTATTGAATGAAAATTGTTTTAGTAACGATTTAAATATTTAAAATTTGTGTCATTACACAAAATGTAAGTGGGGGTTATTTGATTACATCATTTGTTCGTAAATTCATTATATAAGTTGTTATGTATATATACCCTAATTGTATATTTTGGTGATAAAGTCTTATTACATGTACATCAAGCTTGACATCATATGTGTTGACTTTGTACATTGATTTTAGGACCATTCTTGGTGTACATTATGGACACCATAGTGTCCATAATCCCGAGGTGGCGCCTCCCCATTGGAGGAGGCGCCGGGCCCACAAGAACCTCTTCCAATGGAGAGGTGCCACCTCGGCATTATGGACACCATTATGGTGTCCGTAATGTACATTTAGATAAATCCTTGATTTTAACAACATTTTTTTCCAATTAATGGGCAGATTTTCTACACATGGAGGTGTTTCATCGAAGATGTCAAGGAGTAATGTACAAATAGATTTAACTCTTGAGGAAAAAATTGTATGCTTTGCTTGAAGATAAATTATAATCAGAACTAGAGATGCAACAAAATGTAAATTTTCAAGTACAAAATATTTTTTTAATCGA